ACAAAGCTTTTGCATTCCACCACTAACCTCAAGGTTGATGGTTTGAACCTACCCAGTGGTGATGCACAAGCAAAGCTTGGTGACCTGCTACCATAAAGGTTACAACCAAGAAACCCTGTGGAACGGGCCCACTCTGTAACACTTGAGTCAGAATAGATTTGACAGTAACCAGTGAGTTTCTTGGTGGTTTCTGCATTAGAACCCCCAAACTCAATGCCCTCCCGTGAATTCCAGCTCCTAGAAACCCGTGTTGCTGTGGCTTTGAGCTGGTTTTGACTCACAATGACCTGTGTCCAACAGGGCCTGTGCTGTCCTCACAATTGTTGTTAGCGCCGAGGCCATTGTTGTGGCCCTTGTGTCAACCCATCTTGTCGAGGGTTGTCGTCTTTTAGGCTGACCCCGACTTTACCAAGCATGATGTCCTTTTACTGGGAGTGGTCTCTCCTGATCACATGTCCAACGTGCTGGGGATGAAGTCTTGCTTCTAAGGAGCATGTTGGCTGTACTTCTTCCAAGACAGGCCTGTTTATTCTCTGGGCAGCCTGTGGTACCCTGCATATTCTTCCCCAGCACCATAATATGATAAAAGAAATTCATATGGAAGCAGCCTTCCCAGCTTTTTTTCCTATGTAGCAGCTGGTAGACGCGAAGCACTGACCTGATGAGCCGTCTCACAATGTGACCATTGCTCCAGGGCTCGCTGCCTGTAGCACGCAGACAGACATACTTCCCCCTGCACCTCCTGACTCTGTTTGCTGTGGGGACAGGATTTAAGCCCAGGCATCTGAGATAATACCTCCAGGTGGAAGGCCTTGTATCTGAGAGATACCCTTTATTTTCTTGTGAGAAGATGACAATGAATAGGCTAATATAAATCTGATCTGGTAGGAACGCCGAGGCATTTTTAAATAGCTGTTTAGAAAATTCTAGAACAAAAGCACAGAGGAAGGAAAGTTATAGTACGTTTCCTGTGGATGGATTCCCTCTCTGACAACTCAAAAGGCATCGATGGAAGGAGGAGGAGACCAAGCACAGAAGAGACGAGTTCGGGATCCTGAGACAGTGCTCCTCTGTGTTGCACATAGAATGTCTTCTCATTGCATTGGGTTATCGCTTTTCTACCTGTTTGGACTTATTTCCATTTTCCTTATGAGGAAACAGAGGATGTAAAATTAATGTGACCTCACATTAAGACTCTTATAATGTGTGAAAACAAAGCAGGAAGATAATTTTTAACATTCAGATTTCACCTTGTCAAAAACATAACCAACGCTATTCCTGTCTATCGTTCGTTGAATGGTTGAATGCAGCCTATTATTAATCATTACCTATTAATCTCCATGGCTTGCACTTTTAACTTTCTCCATATTTTCCCCTTGCCCTATTTCCATCTTTCCTAATTTATTACTAACTCAACATGATGTTGTACATTTCAGTGATGAAATCAAAACAACGACAATTTACTGAAAAGAAGGATGAAAAGTAAAGGGGCAGACAGACTGCCACATGCCAGGCGACGCTGCTGAAAGCAAAGCAAGATGCAAGACCGCTGGGCCGTCCTGACACCCACGGTGGGGACGAGATGACTGAGAACTCAGACGTGACTCACCCTCTGAGGACCCAGTAGAAGAGACTCAGAAGTGTACAGCACAAATGAATTTGTTATCTAGCAATTCTTGCTTCGTACTTCTCAGAGTTCATGAATAACCATAACTTAATTAGAAAACAGAGAAATCTAATGTTATGATGAAAGAGATGCCAATCCAAAATATAATTTAAGAAGGATGTTTATTAAGTCTTCAAGGGACAAAGACAACACAAAGACACAAACACATCATCTGGATGAGGGAGGCCATTAGCACCAGGTCAGAATGGTGTCCAAGGATTTGTAGTCAGGAAGCTAGTTAAACAAGGCATGGCACAAAGGGAACTGTCACAAGCTCATGATTGGTGGCAAATCAATGCATCACAGTTACAGATGGGAATACAGAAGCAGGAAAGACCCTATTGTTGGGACATGTACATTGTTAGAAGGGCTTACAAGATTGGTACAGGACCTTCTGATGAAGGCAATTGGGAAGGCTGATAGGGCCTGACTCATGGTTATGAGACTCCCCCTGTGTTGTCCTCAGTACAGTGACTTCCATCAAAGACATAGCAAGTCCTAAGAGAGAGACTGCCCCTCCCTGGGTTAGCTGGACAGGTGTGGAGGTAATCTTTTCAAGGCACTCCGCCTGAGGGGCAAGATTATTTATGTCCTTTATAAGGATAAAAATTAATTCAATCGTTTATATTTAGGGGAAATCTAGCACATGGAGTTTGGATTGCCATTGCCACCCATAGCCTTTTCCAAGCAGAGGTGCCAGATTTAAGCTCCAGTATACGTCCAGTATACATCCAGTATACATCCAGAGGCCCCCTCTGCACATGCTTTCTATATGTCAACACAGTAACCACTGGCGTCTGCCTGATACCGCTGGATAAACTGCTCTCCCTTAGAGACCTGTGTCAATTCCTAAGAGGAACTGAGTCTGTCTCCGTATACAAATTCAGAAACACTGAAAGGGATACAATTACCGACTATACAGTGTATTAGAGCTTAAATCCTGAACTTTCTTTTTGCAGGCTGTGGATGGAAGTGAAAGTCCCAGGTGGATTAAGCTTCCATTGAATTGTTTCAGACCATTGACCAGGGATGTAAGCAGTCTTGCCCTTAGGCAGAGTACATTGGAGAGTGGATTACCTTTTCTTCCCTCCAGCCAGCACAGGGAAGGGCAGTCTCTCTTCAGGAACGTGCCTGGGTGTGTCCTTGATGGAGTTCGAGGTACCAGGGGTTGCATAGCCAGAAGTCATGGCCTAGGAATCAAGCTCTGACTGCCAAGCAAGACCTTGGACCTTAAAAGCTCTGGTGTCCTAATCCTAATAAGGTGTCCTAATCATGGTTCTGTTTCCCCTTCTGTACCCCCACCTGTCACTGTGAGGTGTTGCTCTGCCTGCAACCATGATTTTGTGATAATTTCCTTTGCCCTCCCATGTCCTTTACCCTTGGATGTCATTTGGGCTCTTACTAATGTCTCCCTTATCTGGTTGATGTCTTCTTCTCTGGATACAACACAGACCCAATCTCAAATAAGGAGAACATTTCCTAAATCTTAAAATAGACACAGACAACGCAAAGACACAAGACACATCATCTGGATGAGGGAAGGTATTAGCATGGGGTTAAAATGGTGTCAGAATTCTCCATTGGGAAGCTAGGTAAATAGGGTGCTGTAGGGTAAAAGACACTGTCACAAAAGTATGATTGGTAGATCAATACATCTAAATTGCATGTGGGATGGATAAATCTAAATGACAGAAGTAGGAATGGGACCATGATTGGGATATGCACGTTATTAGAAGTGCTTAAAAATTGGTACATGTCTTCCCACCAGACATTCAGGGCAGAACTGATAGGGCATTACGAGATCTCCGGTGCTGTCCCCAGTACAGTGGCCTCCACCAAGGGCACACCCTAGGACAGAAACTTTCCCCTCTCTGGAGAAAGGCTGGAGAGAGGTGGAGTTAATCTACTTCCCAAGGCACTTTGCCTGAGGGCATGGTTAGCTGCATCTTTGGTTAAAGATCAGAAAGAATTCAAGGGAAGCTTAAACTATTAGGGAACCCTGTACATGGATTTTGGATTAAAAATGCCTTCCATAGCATTTTACAAACTGGTTTAGAGTTTGTTCAAGAGTTTAAACTCTAATGCCAGTGTCTTTTTTATACCCTAAAACAAGGGTGGTATGTGATTAGGCTAAACTGAGGCAGGCTGGGGCCCCGCTTCCCTGCACGTCAGCAGCTACACCCCCTGAAATGAGGAGACCGGAAAACGAGGCCAGGAATGCCTGACTCCTTGAGAACCGGTCAGCCTGGTGCCAGAGCTGCATCCTGGGCCATAAACCTTCCCCTGTAGCACGGACCTCCCTCTCCCCGCTTCCCTTTCAAACCCTGGACCCCCCGAACAAAGCCTGCGATTCTCCTGGACTACTAGACCATGGGGCTTTGCCCGGGAGCTCCCCCTAATAAAGTTATTTCTGTTTCTGCTCCCCCTTTGTCCTGTCAGTCATCTCTGTCTGTCTCCCTGTGCCTCAGTTGACCTCTCACTCGTCCTGTGCCTCAGTTCATCTTTACAGTATGTTGTTTTGTGGGAACTGTAGGCAGAGATTCACCTTTGCCCAGTTTCACGTGGCCGTGCTGCCTTGCCATAGCCTGTCTTGTAGATTTTTTACCCTCTTGTCCCTGACTGAACAAACTAAGACTCATAAAGCTGATTGTACATGCAATTGAACTTAAATGCAAATGCTTGTTAGGTTCCTGCTACATTTTATAACTGAATGGCTGTGTGTATTTGGATCTGGGACCTCTGGGAACATCTGAAATATTTTTAGCTTCTGGGAGCATGCTGTTTGATCTTCAGGAAGTCGCAACTAATGTTTCCAAATGCTTTGGTGATCACAACAAGCCAATAGGCTCCAGAAATGTCTAATCCGCTCCTTTAAATAGAAGCGATGACTTTTCCTGCGTTTGGAGACAGAGGAAACCGTGTTCCAGGGTCCTAATGGTGTTCTCCAGTCTCGTGGACCTCTAAAGCACAAAGCGTTTCCCCAGGCCTGTACAACTGTGGAAACTACACTACCCAGAAAGCTCTGCGTGAGGCGATGCAATTCTCAGCCAATAAAAGCCCAGAAGAGAGGCACTTCCTCTCTCACGCACTACGTCAGGGCGGAACATCCGGCATCTTCCTGGTCGCGGTTGTTTTTGATGTTCTTCAGCTATGTTCACCGGTTACGGTATGACGAATGCGAAGAGTGAGCAGGTGTAAGAGGCGTCGTCCTCACCGATAGCCAGGGACGTCGGAGAGGCCGGACTGCGACACTGCCCAGGGTGGGCGCGCCACCTTGCCCAGGTCCCCGCCCATCGCCCCCGCCTCCGCCTATCGCCCCCGCCTCACCCGGGCCCCGCGCCGCCTCAGGCCCCGATGGCGGCGGCCGAGCCGAAGGGCCTGCTTCAGGTAAATGCCGCGGCCGCAGGCCTTGCCCACGCTGACCCACCTCTGCGTCCCAAGGCCCCCAGTTCGGGGCCCGCTCACGCCACTGCCGCCCAGTCCCCCGGTTCCCTGCACCGGGAGGCGCTGTCGGTGGGGTTCTCGTTCCGACTTGTAGTCTGAGGTGTGGGTAGGACCGTGCCACCGGCCGAGAGACCCGAGCAAGTAAACATGGCCGGGAGCACTTGAGAAACCTGCAGCCCTCCTAAGCAGGAGCCCTTGTGGTATACTGGTTAGGACTTGACCTGCCAACAGCAAGGTCTGCAGTTCGAAACCACCAGCTGCTGCGGTGGAGAAAGACGAGGCTTTCTATTCCCATAAAGAGTTACAATCTCAGAAACCCACAGTGGCGGTTCTCCCCAGCCCTGTAGGGGCGTTATGAGTCAGAATCGACTTAATGGCAGTGAGTGAATGTGAATGAGTGAGTGAGAGACCCTTTAAGGGAGCCCTGATGGCAGGGGGGTGGCTATGCATTGGGCTACTAGCCACAAAGTCAGCCAGGGAGAAAGATGAGGCTTTCTGTACCCCGAAAGATTGACAGCCTGGGAAACCCCCAGGGGCAGCTCTATAGGAATTCTCTGAATCAATGGCAGTGTGTGAGAGCCCACCTTGTGACTCCAGGGACCAGAAAATGGTAGGAATCCGGCCTGGAATATCAAGTTAAAGAGTTGTACTTTCATTCTGAGGAGCCTGTTTGGCCAGAAAAGGAATTTGATATGTGCTGTGTTTTTTAAAACTTCTCAACCCACATGGAAGAAGCACACCA